AATTCAGCAGCCGCTGACTCACTGCTTACTCCAAGGACCAGGCAGCACATCCTTCACCTTCAGGTAGAGAAACATTTCTCGAATACATTTGTTCCTGCACTCTGACCTCTGTGCAGATGACAACCATATTTTTCTTAAAAACATCTGATCAGCATAAAATGGCTTTGATAGTGGATTGCATCCCAACAATGGCTCCTACGGGATAAGCAGCTGCTCTTAGCTTGGGCAAGGTGCAACTTGATGAAGCACTAGCCTTCTAATGTCTCAATGTTAAAGCTCAACAGTTCTCTGACTGCTTATTAACATTCCATTAGGATGCTCTAGGTCCAAAGGATAGTCTCAAGGCCAACAGTTAATGTCGAGCATGAAATAATTAGTTCAAAAATAAGAAGCAACCCAATAGCTTCTGAAACGACGACAAAGGGGTTGCACTCAGATGGAGACAATGTTTGATTTACATTTATTTTATGTTAGACTGAAATATTCCCATCTGCAGTCCAATTTGCTGTAACAACAGGACAGACATACCTACTGATTCCCAGGTCTCCGAGGCCATGGGAGATAGCTTAGCGGGACTCCGCGAGGAGATGGTGACATGGAGTTCACTAAGAAATCGGCTGACTCAGGTCACCAGCTCCAGAGGTCCTACAGTCAGGTCTCACTCCTTTAAATCTACAAGATGGTTCTTCCCTCAACTCCCAGCTTTTCACTCCTTTATTTCCATCATATTCTGTGACTCGTTGCATTTTGAGTATGTAGGCATGTCCTCTGGTGAGAAGAAATCGCTTCTATGTTAAATGACAGTTTGAAAATAAATATAACATATTTCAGAAAGCCAACACCATTATATTCCTGGTATTCTTAAATATTTAAGACCAACATTTTTGGACTTGAAGCATTATTCAACAAATACAAATACAACATGTCTTTATAATTTATTCTTAACAGGGGAAGAGTTAAGAGCAAAATACACATTGACCTATAATCTAGAATATTTCTGCAAGTACAAGAGCTACCAGTTTTGTCTTTTCTTGACTCTGCATGTTCTTATTTTGAAACTAGTTTCTAAGTAAAAAATTATGAATTATGTATGTTACATATATTCGAACTATTCTGAATATAAAGATTCTTGGAAACATACACGTAGTTCATTCCAAAAAGAAAGTTATACAATAAGACTACAAGAAAGAACGTTCAGATAAAAATTCAGGAAATGCTTTAGCTCCATGTTCATGATTCTCAACTCCCTTCTGGGCCACTAGAACCCTTTTAACAAGAGCTTGCAGAAAGAAGTTTCATTCTGCAATGCCATCTATCTTTTATTAAGAAATAAGAGTTGACAAATGGCGCCCTTGTTTATAAAGACTTTTGTTTTGATAGGATTAAAATGACTAACATTAGGCACTTGACCCGATTTGGTAAAGCAATAGAGACATTTCCTACCATAAGATAGAAGAAATTAAATATTAGGATTATGTAAGACCATGAGACATAGCTGAAAGGAATAAAGATCAATTGTTTCTCTTCCAGCCAGTAGTGTCTATGTCTGCTGGTGTACCATATTTCAACTATTAGAAGGCCATTAAATTACTAATTTGTCTTTGTATACTAATTTTAAGACATACCTATTTAAGAATCAAGTTGCATGAGACATTGAGGTAACAAGAAAATAGATTGCTTTGTATGTTTTCAATACCCTTGCCTCATAAAGTCTCAAAAAAATAGACTTATTTTTTAAATTTAAAAGGCATTCTAGAACAGAAAGTTTCATTTTATAAAGTAATATGTTCATTTTGTAATATTGTAGAAATAACCACATTCTTGTCAAAGGTTGCTCTATACTTTATCAGTTTGCTAATAAAGCAAAATAAAAATGATACTTTAAAAGAATGTTTATTATATGTTGAAATGCATGTCAGTAAAAATAGCAAGTATATGGCCTTTGAAAATGGTTCAGTATGCTCTTTGAATCAGAGATAATTTTTTTTAGTGTAGTATGACTACATAATGTGAATGTTCTTAATTGACTTGAATTTAGCTAATCTGGAATTTTTAACTGTTGACAGATTTTTAGCTGATTTGACCAGATTATTTTTGTTATTTAGTAATTTCAGTCAACAATTACAAACAAGTTGCTTATGTAGACAAACTTTTCTTGGTCTTTCTGTTGAACTAAATTAGAACTGGGTCCAATTTTTAAAGATTTTTGTCTTATGGTACTAATTCCACAGATCATAGTGCTCGCATAGCATTGAGTATTTATTTTCTTCACTGCTGTTAATACAGCTTTAAATTAATATGTGGAGCCGGCGGAGGGGCTCAGTTGGTTAAGAGCGAGAGCTCTGAGCAACAGGGTCCCTGATTCGATTCCCACGTGGGCCAGTGAGCTGCACCCGAGCTGAACTGCTGCTGAGCTGGTGAGAGCATTTGCTCTTAGCAGCAACGTTGCCAGTTTGACTCCCGCATGGGATGGTGGACTACGACCTCTCCCCATCCCCCAAACTCCCCACAACTAGATTGAAATTGGCTACTGGACTTAGAGCTGAGCTTGCCCCCTCAACAACTAAGATTGAAGGACAACAACTCGACTTGGAGCTGATGGGCCCTGGAAAAACACAATGTTCCCTTCCCCAATTCCCCAACACTGTTCCCCTCCCCAATTCCCCAATGAAAATCTTAAAAAATAATTAATATGTACTTCAATATGGTTTTATTATACTGAGAAATATAAACTTATATATATAATAATTTAGCATGTATAACTTCAGGGTATGCAATATTTACAATAATTGTTTTCCACATCTTAATAACCCCCTCAAATAGAATTATGTCACACTGGAAATATATTTATGAGTAATTTTTTTAAATTATAGTTTTACTAGAGTAAAAATAGAACTACCTTATGATCCAGAAATCCCACTGCTGAGTATATCTCTGAAGGAAATGAAATCAGTACTGTCTCAAAGAGATATCTGCACCCCCATGTTCATTGCAGAATTATTCACCATAGCAAAGATACGGAAACAACTGAAATGTTCTTCAAACAGATGAATGCATAAAGAAAATGTGGCACATTTGTACAATGGAGTATTATTCAGCCTTCAAAAAGAAGGAAGTCCTGCCATTTTTGACAAAAATGTATGACCTTGAAAGGCATTACGCTAAGGGAAATCAGCTAGACAGAGAAAAAAAAAAGACAACTATAGGATCTCACTTGTATGTGGAATCTAAAAAAAAAAGTCACTGTTATAGGAACAGAGAATAGAACAGTGGCTACCACGGGGTGAAAGGAGGGGAAACGGGGTGACATGTGGGTCAAAGGCACACGTTTCAGTTGTAACAAGTTCTGAGGCTCTAATGTACAGCATGGTGACTATAGTTAATAAATAGTATTGCATACTCGGAAGTTGTTGAAAGCAAATTTTAAGCATTCTCACCACATAACTAAAAAAGAAAGAGAGTTAGCTATGTGATTACATGAGGGGATGGATGCATTCATTATCTTGAATTAAGAATTCTACAATGTATATATGTATCCAACCATCGCAATGAACCCTTTAAATATATACAATTATATGTGTTAATTAGCCTTCAATAAAGTTAAAATTAAAAGAAATTCATCTTTTATTATTAATGCTAACGTGTCTATTTTTTTAAAGTATTCATGTAGCATTTACATCCAAGCGTATGAAATACATAGCAGATAGTCATCACATACCTAGAATGAAATCATTAACATATTAGTTTAAAGCAGCAAGAAAAGGCTATAATGCACACTAGAGATGCATTTCAGTGATGGGTTCTATCCAAAGGAAATAAGTTTACTCTCTATTAGAGATAAATATTTAGGATAAATGAAAGGAAGGGAACTTGAATTATCCCAGCCTCCTTCACCCACTTAAAAAAAATATTAGAATACTTTCCTCTGAAGCTCTGTGTGACCATCTGTCTACCACAGCGTGGTTGTGGGTGTTAAACTGTGTGTTATATCCTAGATAAAGGAAATGCTGGAATATCTGACACATAACAGATGCTCAATAAATGACTGGCATTGTCAGTGGGAGCGTACTTACACTTAAGAGAATAGAATCTACTACTACTGTTCTAATGGCAGCAGTTACTAGTAACAAGGAGATGGGACAGAAAATATCATCCCTGAGATAAGTAGAAAACATTTTCACTTTAAAATGTATGTTCTAAAATTTTTCCTAAGTACATTTGTGGACTAAAATTCTATCTCCAGCTAAATTTCTCCTTATAGGTAGAACACTCAATTCATCAGTGGCTAAATAATATTCCATTGCTGTGTCAATATGCTACTTTTCACAATTACCAACTTCCTTCCCCACAAAAAAATCCCAAAATCTCAAGCCCACGTTTAAACCTAACCTGTTTCCCCCCATTATATAAGAATGCTTACTGCTCCAATTCTATAATTGAGTTCACTATGTAGATGAAAGGTTTCTTTATTTTTAGAATTTAAACTCTGTCGTTGCCACCTGGAAAAGAGGTTTGGTTTTATTACCCCAAAGGTGGTGATAGTCATCGGTGCATGTGTGTTTGCATTCGTATGAGAAGAAATGCTTACGGCACATTTAAGGCAGTTGCTTCACAGAGCTGTTATTTAAAGATTTATAGATGTGTGAGAGGCATTGCTACTTAATTACCATTCCCAAATTGGTCTAATTATGAGTCTGTGCCTCACACTTCCTTCACACATCTAGTGCCCTTTGCTCTGTATGCGCGCATGCTCTGTGACGCAATGCTAGAGCTGTGCTTGTTGGTAACAAAATATGGCGGCTTTGAGAATGTTTCCTGGCAGAGTCCAATGAATGCATCCGACCAGCATGCTATGAAAATGTTGAAGCAAAACACTTAACCCTCAGCAAATATCCTCTGGAGAATAATAGCTTTGGGGGCTATGTTATAGTTTGTACTGTCTTGCAGGTGAGGCAGAAAACATTTGGCGCAGAAGTTCTTTTAATCGGATGTTTACAACCATGCTCGATATTTATCTCAGGTAATGCTATGAAATTCTGTTTTCACCTTGCCCTGTCTTCCTAGACGCCCGTTTTGGTTGAAGGGCTTTGACGTGAATTTCCTCGTGGGGGCTTAGAGATGAGGGCCTGACGGTTCTAAACAGGGAGAAGAGCCATGTGAGAGCCTTCGGGAAAATAAGGACGTGAAATCACACTGTCTGAAAAGACCCAGGCTACGGGGTTGGACCAGAGCCCTGGCTGACATCTTCCAGCGAACAAGGGTTAGGCGTGGGGTTCGAAGGAAAAAGAAGGACTTCCCACTGCTCCTATGGCCAGCATTGACCGACTGATGGTTTAATTTTGACCAGTCTATCAGCAAAGGGATGCTATGCACGTGACAGGGTTAAGTATTTTCTAATGATGCTTTTAAAAGGCAGGTTGCAAAGAGAATGCACATTTAAATACTGTCTTCGTTTGAGGGACGCGTGGAGTATACAGGCCAGTGGTCTGTGCCAAGGTTTGGCAGACAGTGACACGGGGGAGAACTCGCCTACAACATACATCGTCTTGGCAGAGTTGTTTGTGAGCTCAGTAAAAGTCTGCAAAATCAAGAGTGCCACTTCATTTTGTCAGGCGCAAGGGAACCGGGAAGACCGTTTGTTGTTATATTTTTGCAGAGGCCAGGACTGCTTTTGAGGGTTAAAGAAGACCATCAGCAAACCCCATCCTTGTCCCTAGTGCTCCCCCATTCTTCATGGGTGCCCGCTCGACCTCAGCGTGCCGCAGGAAGAAGCCAGCGCCTGTAGGTGGCGCCCCACGTCCGTGCTTGCGCCCTCGCGGCGCTCTGGGCTCAGCTCGGAAACCCGGCGCGTCTTCCTAGGTCCTTAGAGCTCGGAGCAGGCATTTTAATAAATAAGCGCAAGTGCCAGTGCGCTCCAGGAGCCCCGAGGTTCAGAGGAGCAGCACAGAAACCCCAGCGGAGGCGCCTCCTAATCCCAGCCAGATCCTGACATTTGCCAAACTGGAGATTCCGGAACCGCATCCTTTAAACCATTAAAACCCCAAGCTTTTTTTTTCTCTCCAACCCAGTCTTTTTTTTTTTTTTAAAGAAAACTGCTTCTCCCCACTACCACCCCCCAATTATGAAAGTGGTCACGCTGTTCAGGATTAAGACTTGGAGGGAATTTGGGAAAGAAAAGACAGAATCGAAAAGCAGAGGTGCCACCGGTCTCTGAGGGTGCCTAATTTTTAAGAGAGGCTTCTGGGAGGATTTCGCTCTGAGTGTTTTGGGGTGAGAGCCGCACCTGGCGGTGCAGGGTGCGGTGGGGGTGCGGGAGCAGTGCGGAGCCGGAAGGCGGCAGTGCGCCGAGCCATCGGGAAGTTCGGCTGTGCAGTCTGGAGACCGGAGGCGAGAGCCGCGCTGCGGGTGCGCTGGGTGCCGGGGCCCTCCACGGCTGCGGGCCGGGTGCGGAGCAGACCCGGCGCAGGCCAGGTGCGGGGTGGGCGCGGTGCAGGGCGCAGGACATCTGGGTGCGAAGCGTGCATGGTGCGGCTTGGGGTTCGGGCGTGCGGGTCCCCGGCCAGGCGCCGTGCGGGGCGTACCCGGAGCCGGAGCTGGCCGGCGCGGGAAAGAGGCAGGGCGGGGCGGCGCGGTATTGGCCACGAGCGGGGAGCAGGGTCGTGGGGGTGTCTCCTCCCGCCAGCTCCGCTCATCGCCTCTAAGCAGAACTTGGCGGACAGCGGTGCTCGCTCACCGTGGAAGTTCCAGGTAACCAACCCGACCCTGCGCTCCGCGATCCGCGCGTTAATTGCATTCATGCGTGTATTTTAATGGGGACCACCGCGACTCTGCGTCTGAGCGTCCGGAGAGCGCGACAGAGAGGAGATCGGAATCGTTTTGTCTGGGGCTGAGGACAGAGCTCTGCCACTACTCAGGGAGAAGCAACTTCTCTCTTCTTAGACGATCGGAGTTGTTCGGAGGCCGGGAGCGGGGAGCGGAGAGGCTTCTGTCCTTTTCCGTGCTGGACTGGGTATGGAAAAGACTGCCTGGTTTAGGGGGAGCTGAGGAGGCCAAGTAAAAGTGCAGACGGCGCCAAGTTAGCAGAAAGCCCAGGGGCTGCCTCTCAGCCCGGGAAGAAACAAAAGCTGCACCATCAGCCCCGCTCGGGGCTCCGGTCGCTGGCATCCTCTGGTCCTGCGCCAGACAGAGGGACCCGCGGGGCTCTCCAAAGCGCTCGCTGCTGGCTGTGGGGACGTGGACGTGGGTGTCTGCTTTTAGGGTCTCTCCCCTTCTCTCTTTCTTCCTCTTAATCTTGTTCACCCTAAGGCGCTTCCTGGGGATTCGGTCTTTGGGTGGAAAATGGATAAGATCTTCTCACTAAGTGGACTGCTTTAAGAAAACCTCCAGGATGGAGAAATAGAGGATGAAAGGGGGAGCGGCGAAAGGAAAACGGCTTCTCGCTTGGTGTGGCTTTCAAGAAAATGCCACCGAAATGAAGGCGATTCAGCATTAGTGGATTTTGTCTTTGCCCGCGACCGGAGCCCCCAGCGCCGCCTTTGGCTGAATGTGCCTGGGGGCAGGGTGTGGCGGGCGGCGCTGGCAGCACCCCCGAGGGTCCCCCACCCCGTCTTCGGGCTGAGGCCTTGCGGAACCGCGGGCCCCCTGGCCTGACCCCACCCCCGGCGGCGGAGCCTTCCGGACGCCGCCCTGTCTAGCGCCCCAGGGCGCTCCTTGGGACTTCTTGTGCCCACCGGGGTGAGGGGTGGCTGTGCGCGGGACCGAGAGGGTGGCCTCCAGCGACGGGATCGCAGCGCCCCCAGCAACTGCGCCCCGCGCCTCCTCCCCGCACGGCTTCACCTCCCAGTCTAAGGGTTTGGGTTCTTTGCCCTGACAGGTCCGCTGGCGTCTGTCTTCTGAGGACGACCCTGGCCTTAACCATCCGAGCGGGGGACGGAGGCCAGAGGAGGCTGCCCACCGGCCCCGCGCGTGGCTCGCCCTCCGGCGCTCCCCCCGCGCCTGCCCGCCGCTGCCCCCGCGCGTCGCCGCCCCAGCCCCAGCCCCGATGCCGGCGCCCGGCTGGGGCCCCCGCGGGC